TTAGTGCCGCTCTCTCCCCGGCTTGGTGGCGGCGTGTTTGTCCTCAGGCACAAGGATGCTGATTTGAATAATTCTCCTCGTCCGCTTACAGCTAATACACATCCTTGTCATCGATTGCTGCACAAGAAGACGGCCACGACTGGGAGCCACTGCTGGCACGACAGCTGGATTAACTGCATGGGAGGTAATCTTTACAAGTTATTATTATTATGGCAGAACACTGGAGACAGGAGGGCAGAGGAAAAGAAAGAGAGATAGTGAGAGAGAAAGAGAGGAGAAAGAAAGGGGGGGGAGAGAGAGAAGAAAGGGAGAGAAAGAGAGAAAAAAGAAAGAGAGAGACAGAGAAAAGAGAGGATAGAAAGAGGATAGAGAGAGACAGAGAAAGACAGAGAGAGACAGACAGAAAGAGGATAAAGAGAGACAGATAAAGGCAGAGAGAGACAGACAGAAAGAGAGGAGAGAAAGAGGATAGAGAGAGACAGACAGAAAGAGAGGAGAGAAAGAGGACAGAGAGGGGGGAAGAAAGAGGATAGAGAGAGACAGAGAAAGACAGGGAGAGAAAATAGGAGAGAGAGAGAAAGAGAGAGAGAGACAGACAGGCAGACAGACAGACATGCAGACAGGCAGAAAGAGGGGGGAGAAAGATGAGAGAGAGATAGAGGGAGAGATAGAGGGAGAGAGAGAGAGAGAGAGAGATGGGGGGGGAGAAAGAGGAGAGAGAGACAGACAGAGAAAGAGAGGGGAGAAAGAGAGAAAGAGGAGAGAGAGAGAGAGAGAGACAGGGAGGGAGAAAGTGTGAAAGAGAGGGCAGAGACAGAGTGAGAAGGAGAGAGAGAGTAAGAAAGAGATATATATAAAAAAGAGAGATAAAATGGACTCAGAGGGCAAATGAGAGAGAGAAAAGAGAGTGAAAAAAGAGAGATGGAGGGTGGGGGGTGGAGAAAGAAAGCAAAAAGAGAGAGAGAGCAAGAGAGAAAGAGTTACAGAGGGAGAAAGAAATGGGAGATAGAGAGGGGGAAGAAAAGAAAAAGAAGAGAGACAGAAAGAGAGAAGGGAGAGAGACAAAGAAGGAGAGCGACAGAGAGAAAGAAAGAGATACAGAAAGATAGAAGAGAGAGAGAGACGAATCAGAGTGACAGAGAGAAAGAATGAGAGAGACATAGAGACAGAGAGATAGGGTGAAAGATAACACAAGAGAGGGAGAGGAAAAAAAAGAAAGAAAAAAGAAAAATAGAGATCAGAGAAGGAGAGTGAAGAGACAGAAAGAGAGAGAGAGAGAGAGAGAGAGAGAGAGAGAGAGAAACCAGAAGAGAAAGAGAGAGAGAGAGAGAGAGAGATTCCAGAAGTAACACAAATCCTATTATTCTACAGGAAATTCTCACTGAGTTTACATGGGTGGCAGCCTGTCCATGTTTGTATATGACAGCAGTCCCAGGGCTGCACAGATGAAGCACTGCCATGTGTGTACACACAGGGATAAATGTATGTATATATAGTGCTTGTTTGTGTATGTCTGTGTATGTAATATGCTGATTACTATAAATGGCAATTAGAGTACTAATACACACACACACATTTGTATAAATGTTATTGTTAATATCCTATAATATTAGGAATATTAATCTCAATACCTTAATATATCCCCTTATATGGATATATTTTTATTTATGTTGGTCTGTCTGTCTGTCTGTCTATCTGTCTGTCTGTCTGTCTGTCTGTCTGTCTGTCTGTCTATCTATCTATCTATCTATCTATCTATCTATCTATCTATCTATCTATCTATCTATCTATCTATCTATCCATCTACCTGCATACCGCCTATGTCTCCTATTTAATTGCCTTTATTGTCCATAGGTTTCCATGAGCCCTTTTCATTATCCATGTACTTGCAGGCAGAAATTGTTCTGGGACGAGGTTGACCCGCAGATGAAGAGGAGATTACACCAAGCAGGGATAGGTTAGGTGTTTCTTTCTCATTTAGGTGGAAATGAGTTTCCTCACTAAACCTGCTCCAGTGAAGTCAGGCCGGGCCCGGTTGCTGAACATACTTCTGATGGGCTGACAGTTGGACATAAATAAGTAGGAAATGAGAGGAAAATGGGAATGTCTAGACAGGAAAACTTATTGTGTTCCCTGGATAAGGAAAGAAAAGGGACAAGGGTTAAAAATGAAATAAGATATTACTTTTGGGGCACTGTGGAGACTCTAAATAATTGCATATAAGTCCAAAATAAATAATAAAGAAATAAATACGTTTATTAAAACTAATGAGTGTAAATTTTGGTATACATTGATGATTAGAGCATCTTATACAATATTCTGTATTTTTATTGTACCCGAAAAAATCAATTCATGCAACAGGAGATGAAGACATTTCCTTCCTGGAAAGTCTGTTCACTGATCCTAAATTGTTCCTTTTTCTACAAGTAAAGGGAGATAATATTTTGCAAGCCATCCCTTACACAGGCAATCACATCAGCCATGGAGAGATAGTCTTTTTGACAGTTGGTGAAGCATGATCTTTTTGAGGACAGGTAAATATTGCAGCTGGCCTAAGGCCACATGTTTATAATCTGACATAGTGTGCGATAATCGAAGTATGTGAATGACAGCAAAGCTTGCAGAAGAATTGGGATCACTCATTTCCACTGCCAACAATGTTTATAATGTCAGAAAATCTTTATAAGGGTAAATGATCTTTCCTTTCTCTGTGTAGAAATGAATGAGATCATTAAACTGCAGGCCTCTAGACTGTAAGCTCTTATGGTCCCTCTCTCCTATTGTTAAGTACAGTTATGCTACATGTTGCTAAACAGCAAATGAGGTTATTTACTAAAACTGGAGGACCCAAAAACTGGTGCAGATCAGCATAGAAACCAATCAGCTTCCAGGTTTTATTAAACAAGCTAAAGTTAGAAGCTGATTGGCTACCATGCACAGCTGCATCAGAGTGCTCCAGTTTTCAGTAAATCTACCTGTATGTACTTGTCCTTGATACAAGTTTGTATTCCCTCTACTAATTTTTATTATTATTATACAGGATTTATATAGCGCCAACAGTTTGCTCAGTGCTTTACAATATAAAGGGAGACAAACCAGCAACGGTACAGTTCAATACAAGAGGGATAGGAGGGCACTGCTCCTTGGAGCTTACAATCTAAACTTTGTTATATGTCTGATACCTTTAGCAGATGGAGTTATATAAAGATGTTATAAAAATGCCAACAAGCATAATGAATAAATAAGTAAAATAATAACTGTGCTTATGCAGTTTAAGAATCACTCTCTATCTGCAACTATTTTTAACTATACTTTTTTAGGATGTAAATGTTGCCAAAATAAAGGCAAATGAAACTTGTAGTGTTGACAGGTGTAGGTTACCATTTATTTTTAAAATTGTATTTATTACAGGTATCTATATAGTACCATATATTTTTGTAGCACTTTTCATAGTTCACAAACTGTTCCTTCACATCAGTCCTGTTTTCAAGGAGCTTACAAGTTAAGGTCCCTGTCTCACAGGAAAATGCATACAAGAGCCAATAAACCTACCAGCATGTTTTTGGAAGGTTGGAGGAAACTGGAATACCCGTAGGAAACCCAAGTCACCATCACTGAACCTTTTATAAATAACTGCAAGTTGCCTGGCTGTTTTTTTGGTCCAAAGACTTCAATACTTATTAAGTCACTGCCCCGAACAAGTATCAGGAGTTCTGACTTTTCTATGACTTCCCTGACTGCATGCTTGTTCCAGTTCATTTATTCAAAGTATTGAAGCAGCCAAGCAACTTGCATTTTCAAATGGAGGCCAGCAATGGCAGCAACCACATTGCTTTCAGCGCAAACTTACTTTAAAATATTATGGTCGTATTGGCAGGGCCAAGAACAGGACAAGGATGGGTAGATTGTTCATCTTTTGTCACCATTTTTACTATGTCTGTCTTATTATGGACTCTTTGGGTTGGGGTCATATTGCACAAGAGAATTTCATGCTGATCAAAAGCATACCAGACTTAGAACTTGTAATAAAAGATATAGATCCCACTTTGATAAACTGCCAAACTGATAAGTTCAGATTACAAAAGGATTTGTGGTCAATAATAATAATAATAATAATAAAAAAAAAAAAAGCAACACATTTTATAATAAAAGTCATAGAAACGCTTTGTTGTGGATGTCAGTATTTTTTTCATTATTCTGTATTTACCAATAATGGACCCATTTTACAATAAATGTGAGTGTTATCTACATTTTCTACAAAGGCAGTTGCAAACAGAACATAGACAACTAAATTAACAAAAGGGATGGCAGATCTTGCTTACAGAGAAATATTTCCAATATTGGGTATACTCAGCCTGAAGAAAGGTTGTCACCATCAGGAAACCTCTCTGACAAATGATGTGCTGCAGTTGCTTGAGTAGATGCATGTAGTCAAGATCAGAAGCACTGAAATACAGGAAAGGATAAAACAGGTGAAGGTGCAATTTATTAAAAAAGGATAACTGTTTATCATACACAGCATTTTAGCAAACTAAATGTTATTCAATTAATGTTTATATCCCTTTTATTAACATGTTAAAATATATCCAAGTCCAGCAAAAGACTTGGCAAATAAACCTGTTATTCCAAAGACCATACACAGGAGAACAGGGCATCAGCTGTATGTGGAAGAAGGAAGATCTTTTGTTGGTCTATGAAGATTATCTAACAGTGTATCTAAACCCAATGAAAAGGTTATGCATTGCAGATTTCCAATTCTTGGATATGAGGTCTGCATTAGTTTTCTTTCTTCAGGCTTTTGTTTTCTTTATTTGCACATGGTAATCCTGCTAATAGCACACTTCCTGTCCTAGGGTGACAACACTTACTTGCTGTACTATATCATAGGATGAACAGCATTGTTACAATAGGGCAGGAGGTATTAAGACTATAAAGCTCCTCCCTTTCCACTCATCTCCATAACACAGTTGGGGAGGTGTTCTGTAGTCCCAACAAAACTGGCAGCAACAGTTGCCCAGAGGGGTCTTGTTTTACTTTCCTCTGAAGTGTGAGAGGTTGAACATGATGGCTACCTGGTTGATTTACTAAAAGAATAGAGGTTGCTCATTTAACAAGGTTTGTGTTCACTTTGCAAAGTAAAATGTTAGTGAAATAGGTGAAGCTGTGTTTAGATGCACTTTAAATGCATATCCAATTGTGTACTTGAAAAATGCCCTCTTTTCAATTTCCTTCACACATGGCTGGGTGATCAAAGTGACACAGCGTCCCTTGTTCACATTCACTTTTCTTGGTGAACACCTTTTACACCGTTAGTAACTCAGCTGCTATGTAAACCTATGTTCTCTACCTGCAGTCTTGAAAGATGAAAGGACCATCCCCTAAAAAAGAATGAGCATCTGGTTGATGGGACATAAAGTAACGATTTGAACGGCTCCACCCATTGTCCTATAATAAGGGATAATCCTCTTATTTTGGGGATATGTGATGGAATGAGACAATATTATTATTATTATTATACAGGATTTATTGAGTGCCAATAGTTTGCACAGCAATTTACAATATAAAGGGAGACAATACAGCAACAATATGATTCAAAACAAGAAGGTTAGGAGGGTCCTGCTCCTGGGAGCTTACAATCTAATAGGGGTATATGAATAGCAGCTAAACACAGATTAGAATTGAGGGCTTTTTTATTTCTTTAGGCTGGCTAGAGGTGATTGTAGCCGTATTAGTGCATTTGCGACAGAAACAATTGAGTACTGTCCATGATACTTTTTTTTATTTGCACTAACATACAATTTTGAGGACAAGCTTTTGGGGAATGTCACCTTCTTCAAGGGCCAAGCAGTACTGATTACTGATCAAATAAAAAAAGTATCATGGACAGTACTCAATTGTTTCTTTAGGCTGGCTATAAACGTATACATTTTCTTAGTCCAGCCTGTGCACACAAAACTAAACAGTGCTATCCCTCAATTTTATTCTGACAGCCAGCAACAGCAGATGTCAGACTACTAAACAGTGCCTGCATCTGATATGAAGCAGGTGCTGTTCCACCGTCAGCTTTCCGCCCAGGTTCTCCAATTGTTCATTCCTATTTTGTCAAGTCAGGTGGTGCCTACAGAGGCAGCATGAATCGTTTGAAAGGTTTGAGCCATGTACAGCAGCTATTAGGGCTCTATTACACTTGTAAAAACTGCCAGTCAACAGCAGTTGGTCATACACGAGTCAGCTATTTTCTTTTAACCAGCGGGTTGAACAACAAAAAAGAATGACTTGGTTTCCTCCATCCACACACTCGATGTGCATGCAGGAATCCTAACTACTATGTCCTTTTATTCTGACATTGGGGAGACTTCCCAACATCAGAATACACAGATCAGTGCTGCAGTCTATAGCCTGCAATGCTGATCAAGCAACAAAATACCAGCAGGGAGAATTGACAGAAATTGATTGATAGATCAACTTCTGTTCAGCCACAGTAACCACA